GATTGAAATTGTACGGAGAAAACATATTCATGGTTTGCATGTGGTTTGAAATAACTTGGGCTATGTGCTTCAACAGAGGTGTCACTAGGGGTCTTATTCCAAAAAAATCTTGTACATGCCTACTGTGAAGTGTATGGTTATTTTCAAAATAGTCTTGATGCTTAGACTCGTGATCTCTGTTATGGCTAGTTTCGTTAGCGTAGAAGGGATCTGCTGCGCGTAACTGGAAAGAATTGCGACTGTCGTTATACATGGGTTGGTACTTAAGGGTGTGGAGTGAGAAACCTATTATTACCATTCTTACTATTGGTTTTAAGCTTCAGTGGGTGATTTGGGTGGCCAGTTATCAAGTAGTTTTCGTTAGTCTGCGTGTAAGACGACTTGTTACGATGAAGCACACCACCCATTTTGCAACTTAGAGGTTTTGAAATTAAGTTATACGCTAGCAGCGAGGAGAACCTGTTCACTGTTCTTGGGATACCTATAGAGCAGTTGGGTTCAAGCTCACGTATTTCCCCATTCTGTATCATGAGTTTTGTCTTCCCACCCTTTATTGTGAGAGCTGGAGTCTCATTGTCTCTGTGAGATGAACTTAGGTTCATTCAAGTCTACTTGTGGGGTATCTTTAGGAGGACAAAATTTCAAGTGTATAGGTTTAGTTGGATGTGTGTCGTCACACAACTCACATTTTAGTATGTGGAGTGGTGTCATGCTTATTGTTCGTGTGTTTTAAACTATTTGCTATGATGTAAACTATCTCTGGCTGATTAAAACCTATAATAGTCCCATTCAATTCTATCGCTTCACGTCTTCTTACACGACGTTGACAGGGCGCATGTTCTGGAGTAACTTTTATATTCTTGTATGGAATAAGTGAGCTAATAATTTTGCTCAAATCAATAAACTGCTTAATATCGTTACAACAGCCAAACATAAACAGGAGGGGGCAGATTGATCTGTCCAACTTTTTTCTAAGGAGGATTACTTTGCAGTTAACGTTCGGCATACCGCATGCTCCAAGGCAAATATCGCTTAACTTAGATGGGTGTGTGCGGTCGGAGAGGTTATACACAACTGCATTGTAGGAGGACATCACTCTCTTCGTCACTTCTTCAGCCACAAACTCCAAAATACACTCAGCTTTAGTGAGTTGCTCAAGATTTCTGTCTGTGTCAAGGCCCCATATATGAGTGAGGGGTGCTAATTGCTCAAGTTTGCCGTTAATTTCGGATAGAGAGTTTTGTAGCTGTCGGATGTCATTACTGTATCTATCAGTATTTTGGTGTGTATGAGGTGGACCATTGGACCCTTTAGTTTTTGAAATTTTAGATTTAGGCCTTGGTAGCACATACTGTCTAGTAGGCTGCGCTGACTTTTCTATGCACGTAGGTATAGTGTCTTGTATGTCAACCAGTCTTACCCTTGGCATCCTGCACGTAGAGATAGAGGGGCTGCGACATGGAGAATCTGGTGACGATAGAGACATTTGTGTACAATACACATATTTTTCAGTAGTTAAGGGTTCGTCATTGTTAAGCACTGAGTCGTCAGTTGTAGGGGTTACAGATTTGGACCTTTTATTTGGCTTAGAAGTTGGTGAAATTTCTCTTTTACTGGAGTTATTGGACATGATTTGAAGATGGGTGAGCACAGTGCTCGTTAAATTAAATATAATATCTGAGTATTAGTTTTTATTAGGTATTAACCTGGTTAATGCTAGGATTAGAGACTGCGAGTATATAATAAATTTTAAGTCTGTTTAAGACTTAAGTCCGGCAATTGTCCGTCCCCAATCAACCGAAACAGGGGAAATAAAAGGGTAAATGCTTTCGATGAGAAAAGGGAAACCTCATCAGAATGTCGCCTTTTTTCGCCTGTCCGAAGGAAATACCGCGGATTTCCCCTAAATATCCGCGGAATCCCCTCTTTTTCGCATAAATATGCGCTTTTCCGTCTACTTTTCCCCGAAATATCCGCTGATTTGTCCACATCTCGCCCAAATTTCTGCCGAATGGCCGACATCTAACCCGAATATCTGTTGAATTGTCTACTTTTCAACTAAATTTCTGCCGAACTGCCTACATTTCGTCTACATATATAAGCCTAATTTTTTACCTTTCGCAGAAATACACGCATAACTGCCTATTTCTGATCCATTGGCATAACCCTAAATGTCTTCTATGTCTGCCTTTATTTCAAAAACAAACCACACTAAAACTGCAAGCCACGAGAAAACTGATACATTTTTATATAATTTTATTGTAAAGGAAAATCGTATCATTGTACAAAATTATAGCAGAAGCTTTAGCATCAATCGTTTAGCATAACCATGGTAATTGCCATTTCATTGTTGTTAGAAGGGATCTGCAAAAGATGAAACAGGTGTTGTATTATTGACAAGGCATTCTCAACACTTCTTTAGTTTCCCATGTAAGTAATAAAGTAAGCTCTTTTACAAAATAATGTTTATTAAAAATTAGGTAGAAAATCAAGAAAATTGCGCGGACTATTGCCTTTAGCCACAATCGTTCGGCTATTGAGAACTGAAATAGTCGTTCCGTGAATTCTGAAGTTAAAAAAACGAAGGAAGTCACAGCGATATCTCAATGACTAAACTTACGGTTATATCCGTTAACACTGATGACTGTAACTATAGAGCCGTAAGGAAAGTTGTCACTTTCAATTAGTACATATATGTATATATATGCAGGCACACCTGCCCGTCTTTTATGCTTTATCACTTTGTCTCTGACATCGTGAAAGTAACCTTGTGTTGCCATGTCGTAGAGCTTCACAAGGTCTTTTTCGTTAACAGATGATGATAAAAAGCGACTTGTTAATGCACCTGAAGTTTAAATACTAAATATAGGTTACTTAGTATGCAGAAGAAAAAGCGGCATTTTTGAAGTGGTCGTTTCGAAGAAGTTCCAAGTAACGGGAAGTTGCTAGCAACCTCAGATGTCAATAGGTACAACAGAACACACCGCACTGAGGTTTTCTGGTCATCACCCGATAACCAGGTAACCACTGCCAATTGTATTAGCAACAAATTCGATCGAATAAAAAAAAGCGTTTTTTCTTATTTTTCGGGGTAACATGTACCAGATGTACAGGGTAGGATGATGACCACAGCATAATACACCTTACAAAAGAGCAAGTCGAAGAATACCTAAACCACGTGAAAAAATGTTACCACTTTCAAAGTTCGTGGGTCGAGTATCTATGTAGCTATTATTGATAATCTAAGTTATCGTAATATTTTTCCGTTATCAGTGTAAATTATTTCACATCATATCATACCTCGATATTACACTGTATACATATTAGTGGTGGTAAGCAGCCAATATTATTCATAATTATTATTTGAACATGTACCTATTGGGAAAAAGGCGCCGAATACATATGAGCCACACAATTAAGTTGATTTGTGCGTGGGCTGTGATACTGCTCGGGTGCCCAGACAGGAGCACATGGTTTTCTTAGAGGGCCACACTCGGAGTCTTCGACCTTAAGGTTTATTCATCAAGCAAGTGGAGCAACACTGGGAGATGCAGTTCCATAGTAACTAGTGACCATCGACTGATTCTTGCACCATTCTCTCCTTCAGGACACTGAAGCCAACCCATGTGCACCACTGTTTCAGAATCAGAGTTGTCCAACTTCCTCAGGTGCACTCTTCGTGCCCACCAACTTGGTTAAAGCGATGGACTTTCGATTTTCGTCTTCCTAATTTCGTAAACAACATCCCCAACACGAGAAGGCAGTGTGTAAGACTTCCCTGGCAGTGGTTGTATGGACATGGAAACTTGAGAGCATTTCGAGACGAAGAGCTGATTCCCCCTAGTCGCGGCCGTACCAGGTCACTTAGGGGCATTTAAGAGTTAAATAAGCATACGAGTATTCAACCGTAAACTTGCTCATTAAAGTTTCTGAATTATTACTTGTTTACGGTAAACACTAGTATCTTATCCATCATTATCGTGTTACGTTCTAATATTCTTTTTACGAAACATTCTTATGTGATCAAGATTATCTCAAAATAAACGTATGTATTACTGAGTTGTGAAATTCTATTAATTTCCATCCAAACTAACTGGCACGATGTTTATAATGGAATGAAACGTCCAATAACTGATATTTTCGTACCTTTCCAAGCATATCAGAATTCTAGAAAACATCTAAATTGATTGATAAATTTCTTTTCAAATGAGTACTGTGAAAACAGTTGATATTACTTTGGAACTATTGTCTTGTGTCACGATGAAATGCCTTCAATGTAACAGAGAGTGAGAAACCCATCATTGATTATACAAGAATAAATTTGTAATTGTTATAAGTTTCCCCTTGAAATTTGTGTTGAGGATAACGGTTAGTAATTGGTAAGTATTCTACGCTTATGTCAAGTAGATTATCTAGAACCTACCCTACACAAACCATGTTGGCACCACCGAAAGATGACTACCATCTTTCATCTTATACACTAAAAGATCAGTTCTGACATTGGTTGAATTTCGAATTGATGAACATGGTAAGAAATTAATGTTACAATAAAAAACACACCATTGACGCATAAACTACTTCATGCGTACAGTTTTCTCAATGATAACACGATTTTTACAATTGAATGATCATTAGATAGTGACTAATGCCATGTTTTTCAAGTCCTTCTTCGTGTTAATCGAATCCTATCGGCAAATTTGAAATGTGGCTAATTAGTCTAGGTGACGCTACATCGCTTGCATTATGTCGAGATGTAAAGAGGCGGTTAGAGATAACGATCGATTTAAGAGCCAACTGTGCTTAAAACAATTGGTTCTCTTCATCATCATATCAAAATACGTCAATAAATTGAGAATCTCCCGTGTTAGATAGGTGACCATTTATAAGAATATAAGTAAAGTTCTATGTAAATGACTCAAATTCAAAACTTTCGTAATACTTATCTTACAAGTTTAGTTCTTATTCAGGACTTCCTTTCATAGCATATATATGTACAATATCTATTCAGTCCATTTATGTAAACAGTCAACATTGGTACAAACATAATATAAACGCATATTTTCTTCCGCTTTCAATGTCTGTGATTGAAAAAATACAGCTTCTTGTTTACCGCATCGACGACATATATGATCTTCTGTTCGAGGCAGTGTTGGATCATGAACAACATCCGGTACAATTAAAGCCAATTCACTTTAGATGGATAAAAGAAATACTATTTTATTTTAACAAATATTCCATGAATAAATTAACAGGAAAAGTTTATAATTTGAAGTTGTACATTTCATAATACAATTTTACACTGACAAGACTATGAAACTACTAGTGAGTACACCTCCGCTGGTCTAACTACCCTGTTGGCAGAACATAAATTGTATGAAATCATGCTCAGTGCACGATTGCTTTGGCGTACGCTGATCGGTTAATTCCTATCCAATTAGCACTAGTCGATACTTGGAGAACACTCTATGATCTTCTCATGTTAAAACAATAAATATACTAACGTTTTTCCTAGTGTGCTTCTTACTTCCATCTTTATCCATTCTGTCAAGCAACAAGTAGGATAAGGCACGATTCCCCCATTCTATCTTCATCTGACAGCAACCAGTTCCTCCACCCATCACTTAATAATAATAATAATAATAATTTTATTCTCAAATAACAGTTTGTTACATGAGGCATGCCAGTTTACAGGCAAGATCAAATTGATACAAATGATACAATACCCACTAAAGTAAATTACATAGCTGGGTTGATAATTTATAAGATATGAATGTAGATGGTTTTAATCAGTACTACACTTGGCGCGCTTCACGAAAGTTGCGTTGCGAATGTGCAACCGATGGTCAAGGATAGGTCCATTGAAGGTGGGAGCTTCTAAACGTCGCAACCTTTTGGGATGTCACTTTAGAATGTCTAAGGCTTTGATGATGGTGCAGGATGAAATCTTTCGTTCCATATCACAAGGGGGCTGAAAGAGGGAGCAAGTAAACGAAAGGACGAGAGGCAGAATAGCCAATAGTCATGAAGAAATGTTTAAGGTAAGATTACTCAGTCTAATTTTCTTTTATTAAGGTATTTGCTAAGAAAGAGCAAAGTCAGCTCTCCCCCTCGAAATGCTCTCACATGGCCACGTGTCTATAGCCTCTGTCAGGGAAGTCCTACTCACTGCCTTCTCGCGAAGGAGGGTGTTGTTTACAAAATTGAGAGGAAGAAAGCGAATATCCAGCGCTTTAATTGGGTTGGTGAACACACAGTCCACCTAGAAAAGTTGGAAAACCCTGATTCCGAACCAATGGTGCACATGGGCTGGCTCTAGGAACCTGTAGGAACCAATGGCGTATGAACATATTATTGGTGACCGGCTACCATGGGATTGCATCTCCTGACGTTACTCCACTACCTAGTTGATTAGACCTACAAGTCGAAGGCCCTCTGTTTCGGTTTGGGTACCCGGGCAGTATCCTAGGCCTAACACAAATCCAATGGTTTATGTGGAGCATATCTATTTCGTGCCTCTTTGTGCCAATGTTTATGTGCTTAAATAAATAAATTATTCTACGTATATCGAAAGCCGATCTTTGACACCTTTGAAACCATCAAGACGAAACTTTGCATTCATCAACAACATATTAGTGTAAGGAATCCTGAGTTACACTACTTTTATGCTTTGACATTAAAGAGACCATGATTTTTGAGTGACCGATATTTCACTAACAATCTCTTTGGTATTTTCGAAACTCATTATTGGATGAAAAGCGTTGAACTGTCATCATATGATATAGTGAGGCGATATGACATGACTGTGCAAAGTTAACAGATAATGGGGCGGTATGGTCAGTCAGGTGGAGTCTCTGAAGTTGTGAAACTAAGTAACTTGAGACTCCATCAGTTGATGCAAAATAGAATACAGAGACGAACAAGTTAAACAAATAATATGATTCATCTCGGAATCGCACTAGGCATTGGTTATATTCACACTGGAATCCCGTCACTGTCAAAATAGTGGTCATCTGAAGCGATTTCTTCTCTTCTAAATACATTGAAACTACTCTAACAAGATATGTGTGAGTAAAATATCATATCATAAGAATGCTAGTACGTAGAACAAATAAATAAAAACGACTCAAAACAGTGGTATGGATACTTACTCAACTTCCTGTTCCAGTTTGTTGATATAAACACAGGGATTGTCTGCTTCCTGGGAATAATCACAGTTACGACATGCGTAGTATAATGTTTTTGTACGCTTATCCTCTTTAGGATACAACATGTTGTTGCATTCACTGCAGAACAAAATCCCAACATGACACTGGCTTGATTTCACATCATACTAAAATGTAAGTTAAAAAACGCTATCAGTAGAATATTCTGAACATACGGTTTCCATCTTTACTAAATCAATCCTTCAAGCGTACTTCTCGAAGAGGCTAGAAATTTCAATCAAGTAACTACAAGATTAATAAATCAGACGACCACAATTTATATAACTAAACTGCGAAAATTGACAAGACATTTGATAAACACCTAGTAATAATATAAATAATTTATTTGATAAAGTCAGTCAGTTATAATCAACGTAAAATCTAGTATATATATATGTGCGTCGGTTCTAGTTGTGACACAAAATTAGCGGTGAGGTAAAATTATCATGAGAAATCCTATTGTAGTAGTAGTAGGAAAAGATGGAATAAGATTTCGGAGTTCAGGAGCTAAGAGAAGATAAATAGTGAATGCATTTGCGTCGCTCAGGATGATTTTGATTCCTGTCACCCAAAATCTCTAGCTATTGATTACAATAAACGTGTGAACACCAACCTACTTGGCTGTTAGGCAGTTAATGATTTCATGGATTAATACGTTTTAGTTTGGCTACCCCAAATTTTCATCCAACCGGCTTCTGCACTAAGCAACATCGCACCCCAAGGTAGGCAGTAGTTGTGAGTACGTAATACATATTCCAACTACTTCGGTTGATCAATATTCACTGCCTTAACAGCCGATGTCCGATGCTTATTTCTAAAAGGATGTCTATAATGAAATTAAATGAAAATGCAGAAAGAAGGGAGTCCTGAACAACACCGCCTAAGGTTGTCGATTCTCATGACAGCTAACCATAAGCTCTAACTCAATCAGAATCTTGTAAGCAAACAACCTGTACAAGGTTGATATACTCCTTTGGTACGCTACTCAATGTCAAAGGGGAGGGGTGGGGTTAGAAAAGGTCGACCCTAAAAATGCATACCTCGCCTTATCCCACGGATAACCGTCTCCGGCGGTAAGGTCTCAACAAGTACGGAGCTAACACAAAAATAACCCATGAAAAGGTCGTGTGTGACCGACCTCAAGCAGTTGTCCCCTGGGCACTGCGGTCACGCTCTCAGGTCACTAAGACCACCCCTAATCCAATTTCCTTTCCAGGTACCTCCAGAAGAACCCTTCCACGGTGTGCGCAACCGGGGAGTGATAACCGTCCTCATACCTCTGACAACACTCAAGACCACTGTATTCATAATCAACCTCCTTCTTCAATTCCTATCATTGCTCCTACATCGACTTTCAACACTAAACTTCCTCTTTCGTCTTCCCCCTCAAGTGTCACCATAGCCAACGGTCCTACCGCGCAAAACACTGCCGCAGGTCAACTAAAACCTCACTCCAAACCACACATTGGAGCCTTCAACGTACACACCTTATGTCAAACTGGTCAGCAAGCTTCCTTGGCTAAAACCCTAGATTCTCTTACCGTTGATGTATGCCATGTCTTCGAAACACGCATACAGAATCATAGTGTCGTCATTCAGTTGACCTCACCTCGGCAAAACGGAGAGCCAACGAGACACACCCTCCGTGTATCTGGTGACCCGATGGCCAGTTCTCGTGCACTGACCGGTGTAGGCATAGCACTAAGAATGAGGGCGGAACAAGCACTGTTAGATTGGATCCCTGTTAACAGCCGTTCATGTGCTGTTCGGCTAAACGGCTCCGTAAGAACTCGGAAGGATAGGGACACACGTCGTTACCCTTTTGTCCTTTATGCCTACGCTCCCACCGACTGCAGCTCGGAAGGATTGGAAGATGAATTTTACAGAAAGCTATCTGAAATTCTTCAGAAAGCTAATCGTTCAGACATAGTACCCACAGGAGGTGACTTTAATGCCCAGATAGGTAGTTTAAACCGAAAAGAAAGGCATTTAGGTGGATATTTTAGTATTCTGGTTCAGCGAACAGATAATGGTGATCGTCTGCTGCAACTATGCTCAGACAATCGTTTATTTTTAGCAAACACAAATTTTAAGCATAAGGAGAGACATTGTTTAACATGGCAACCCCCTACACCAAAACAACGATGGACTCAAATAGACCATACTGCCATCAGTCATCGTTGGAGAGGGTCGGTAGAAGATTGTCGCTCATTCTGGAGTACCTGGTTGGACTCCGACCATGCCCTGTTACGCGCACGCATCTGCTTGCGCCTCACTGGACGCAGAAAAGCCACAGTAAAAAGACCCATTAGAACTGAATTGAGTAGCGAGAAAACCAAAAGTAGGTTCCAGGAACAACTGAGGTCACACTTAGGTAGTTCTGAAAACGAGGCTGACCCAGATGTTGCTTGGAAAGATATACAAACAGCTGTGGAAACAGCAATGAAATCTATTAGTGACTTAAACCACAGAGTTACAAAGAACCAGTGGATTTCTTCAAAGTCTATCACACTGATGGGTTCTCGCAAACTCATCCCATCAGGTTCTGAACATGATGAAGAGCGTAAACAAATCAGATCTGAGTTAAGCAAAAGTCTAAGGAACGACCGTGAGCAGTGGTGAGCAACGAAAGCAAAAGAGATGGAAAGGGCAGTGGCTATAGGGAACAAAAGACAGCTCTACAGACTAATAAAAGAAGGTGGAATTACTAAGTCAAGTGTAAGTCAGACTATTTGGGAAAAAGATGATACTCTCACCTGCTCCCAGTCCAGACGTTTAGAACGATGGGCGGAACATTTTAGAGAACAGTTCAGCTGGCCTTTAGCTATTCTACAACTACCCTTTATTCCCAGACAATGTGAATGGAACATTGAAGTAGGTCCCCCAACCCTAGCTGAAGTCCAAAAGGCTATAGTTAATCTGAAACGAGGAAGCGCAGCTGGTCCAGATGGATTGGCTCCAGATAATTTTAAGGATGGTGGTCCAATTTTAGCGATTAGGTTGACTAATATTTTAGCTAAAATCTGAAAGTTAGACGTCATCCCATCTAACTGGTCGCAATCACTTATCGTCCCAGTATATAAAAGAGGGTCAAAATCATCCTGTGACAACCACAGAGTGATTAGTTTAACTAATATAGTATCTAAAATACTAGGCTCGATAATTATCAGGCGCCTAACTAAGACTCGTGGACTGCAAACACGAGAGAACCAAGCTGGCTTTAGACCTGGTCGTGGCTGCATCGACCACATATTCACCATTCTTCAGGTCCTGTAACATAGACATACTTACTGGCGTCCAACAATGGTGGTCTTTCTTGACTTAAACGCAGCATTTGACTCGGCAGACTGCAAGATTCTGAGGCAGTGCCTGTTATTGATAGGCGTACCTCAGAAGTCATAAACCTCACGGCAGCGAAACATGGCCATTAGGAGTTTAAGATACTCGTAAGCTACTAGTATTTGACCACAGATGCCTTAGAAATATTGCTGGCATCTCCTGTGATCGCTTGGTAAGTAATACTGAGGTTATACGCAGAGTATTAGGTAATGATGGTAAATCAGTTGGTGAGGTTGTGAATCTTCATCGACTGAGATGGTTGGGTCACGTGTTGCGTATGCCTGAACACCGATTACCAATGCTAACCGGTGTTGGGGATGGTTGGAAAAAGGTTAGGGGCGGCCAAACCAAAACGTGGTGTCGTCAGTGCTTGAAGACAATAACTTCTAGTCTGAGCCATGTTGGTAGATGCAGAGTACTTGGTTCGGGTCCGCGTGACTATCGTAACCAAGGGTTGGAGACTCCTGGTGACATGGCTCAAAATCGATCACACCGTCGTAGGTTTATACACTCCCTGTCTTCCCTTGAACTAAGAGATTAAAATCACTTCATATCTTTCTTTCTACGAACTGATTCTTTCTTCCTGTGATACACTTTTATATGCAATCTTTCTTCTATATATTACCCACATTGAAGTAAACACGTCTATGAATCCAGTGTTCATCTTGCTGTGATAATGCGGTATGGCAACTTGGACCGATGCATATATGTGCCTGCTCCTACGTTGTAGCTGACTGACTGACTGACTGACTGAGATATTCCAGACAAATCGGCTTTTTACTTCCAAAATGCCTTATCACCAGAGACAGAGATCAGTGGGTAAGGTATAAAATTTCTAGAGTTGATCTTTACGAACTCTCACTTTCCGTTGTGAGAAAGCAGAATCGTTGTAAGTGCTAGTTTCCTGAAGAAAAAAATCAACGTCTATCAGACTACTGTACAGTCGGTAGTACAAATTCACCCTCGAACCTTAATCTGTTTGGTTTAGTCTTACCGTTCTCCAACCGACATGCATAGCATGGCAAAATCTTTAAGAACTAATGTCCTAGGCAGCATAGAACGACTGTATTATTACAGTAGGTAAGGCTGGCTACCACACCAAGGTAGCGGCTACGGTAGTGATATTTGATGAATTTTACACCTTTGCTATATTTACTTCATATACGACCAGTGAGGGATTCACCAAGAGCATGAGGTGATTTAGTATTCCAGACCTTTGACAGTGCATCATATTACAGATTTAGTGGTTGAACTTACAAAAGCAAGCGAGTTTTCTATACAACAGAATGTCATTCTTCCATATCCTTGAATCGTCTGTATTTATATTACAGTTGTTTAATGATCTAGTTAGGATATAATGAGTAATTGCAATTAGTACCTACAATTGTCGACTGCGTAGCAGGGTAAACTTTAATATATTCCGAGAGGAAAGTTACTTACATAACCAAGTCATAAATGAACCGCACACTGATTGACATAAACAACTCACCAGAAACAGCGGTTCATCACATCAAGTAAATATGCTTCATAACAACACTTCCTATAAAAATATCCGGAGGACCAATACATGTATGATTTTTAGTGACTGATAAAAGTTTCAGAAAATCGGATTCCTTTACAACATTTTCTGTAGAATATTTATGATATATAGGGTGGAAGTTTTGGGACTTTTGAGCAACATACAATGAATCAAAACTAAGTTAAACAGTACTAGTATTGTGGATTGTGAAATCAGAGAGTAGAGACTTATATTCACAAAAGAAAGGAAAATCTGGCGAGACTATAGTTTGTGGACGAACCAATCAGGTATAAGACAGCAGATCTCGGATTTTCCACGAAAGTCGTTCATCTATTTGGCTAAAGAGAGTTTTTGCATTATAGCTGATGTCAGTTCGTGATGAAAACCCCATATATAATTAATAACTAGGGCAACTTATGACAATTATTGCGAACTGGATAATAAAAGCATCGGTAACACTGGTTGCAGCCAGGTACTACAATATATACGGATGATTAGAAACCGTACAGACTCCTACATATACTTGGTTATGTGCATCGTGTCGTTATCCACAAGTGGCAATTTGTGTACTCGGCAACCGGAGTGCACACAAACAACATTGAAGCTATGTGGTCGAGGCTGAAAGTTTTTGCGACCTTATCATTGCTCCAGAGTCCGATTATTCTGTAGCCATTGACTCATTCAAGAGAAGAATAGACACTCACAGAAGCATATGAAAAAAGAAATAACACATAAATATTGGTACAAGAGAGCGCCGATACATATGCGCCTCACAAAACAATGAGAATTCGAAGAGAAAGAAAAAAGGTAAGGAGAGTGAAGAAAAAGAGAACAATAACGAGAAGGTTGGTGTTAGGTAGTGTAGTAATATTAATAGTAGTAATGAGGGAACGGAAAGGTACAGTCAGAAGAATTCCTTCAGTTACGGAATATACAACCACTTTTCACGAAGAAAGTAAAAGAAGGTTACATCAGGATCGCCATTGGCTTCTATTATTAGCTATATTCGATAGCGTCTCTAGCCACTGTGTATCATCATCTCTCAGACCCCAACCAGGGGGTCGTGACGGATCAACACAAGCCAGTCCTTTTCAGCTTTCTTTCATACCACGACACCATGTCATACACTGACCACCTCTCCGCTTTCTCCAACCAGTCCCAGAGTCGGCAAATAATGCACGACGTGGAATTCTCTGGGATGACATTCGGAGAACATGTCCAAGCCACCGAAGTCGATGTTTCAAGATGGTGACACCGATTGCATTATCGTTCCTGTGCCAGAACACACGATGCCGAACCTCTGCATTACTGACATGGTGTTGCCACTGAATGTCAGCAATCCTTCGGAGACAACGATAATCGAACACAGAGAGTCGTCTAACGTCCTCAACTCGGAGAGGCCAGGTTTCACAAGCATAGCGAAAAACTGCTCTCACCGACGCGTTGTAGATCAGACCTTTTTCAGCCAGACTAACATCATGAAGGCGCCAAAGATGGCCCGGATTGCCATGAGCCGCTCTGGCTTTCACTATACGTGCACTGATCTCATCACTCACACCCCCACCAGCACTTATGCAGCTACCCAGATACACGAATATCTCGACTACTTCTATCTGCTCACCATCAAGGGTGAGTACAGGATTACGATCCTGCCAGTCTTGTAGAAGCACTTTGCACTTCAAAGGTGCGAAGCACATATCCATACCTGCGGACACTGATTGCCAACCGATTAAGTGTGTATTGCATGCCTCGGGCATTATCACACTGTAAGACAATATCACCCGCATACTCAAGGTCGAGAAGTCTTTCTCCAGGCAACAGATCCACACCACTATTACTTACATCCATCAGAGCTGTTTCCAGAATGTCATTGATGGCAAAGTTGAAGAGGAATGGTAAGATTAAGCAACCCTGTCTAACCCCACTGCTCGAATGGAACAATGGAGAAAGGTAGTTGTATGCCCTCACTCTGCCTGAGGTGTTTGTATATAGAGCTTTTAGGATGTAAATAAACTTATAAGACACACTCTTCTTCAATAGACAATCCCAGAGGGTGAAGATATGATCAATACATCGTCGACCAGAACGAAACCCAGCCTGCCCCCCGCAAGTCAATCTTTCTCGGGTTTTGAACAACATACGAAGTATGACGGAAGCCAATAGCTTGGACGCAATCGAAGTAGACTTATCCCCCGATAGTTGTTACAGGAACGACGTGAATCGTTTTCAAAGATAGGGACAACTATCGACTCATTCCATGACGTTGGCACACTCTCTAGTTCCCAGACCTTTGTAAACAACGCCGTCAGTTCCTTAGGTAGAAAGTCACCACCATCTTTAAAAAGAGGCGGAGGTAAGTCATCTGGGCCAGGTGATTTGTAACGCATCAAAAGTTGTAGTTCTTTGCGGACTCCCGCCTCATTTGGTGAATCAGTCGTCACCGGCCATGGAGGGCAGGACAGTCTGACCGTTGTTGCCGGAGCAGCAGACCAGTTGAACCGCCCTTCGATTATTCTGCCCATCGTCCATGACGTCGATGGATATTAGTGATTGGCGTTCCATCATCCTCGTAGATTGTTTCGCTCACACCAAACTTCTTGCCGCCAAAGGCTCGGATGAGTTGGAAGAGCTTCCGGTAATTACCAGATGCAGCCGTTAGTTCCAACTCATTAGCGCGCTTCGACCACCAGGCTTCTCGGTCCTTAAGCAGGCTTTGCCCTAATTTCATTATGTAACACTCTTCGTTTGTGGTCAAACTCACGGTCACCCGGAGTAGACCGACGGGCTACAATGAGTTGTAAGGAACCAGAAGAAATCAAGTGCTTATAAGCGAGACGTTTCGCGAACCCACAACTGACTGTACCCGCCATTTTCATGGCGTCATGCAATTGTAACCAATGCTCATCTATATTTTTCGGTGGAATGGTAGCTAGCCTAGAAACAAGCTCGGTTCGATACTTACTTGCAACAGAAGTTGCAACCAGCTTCCTAACATCAATCCGTTGATGGCGGTCACTTCGTTGTTCACTGAAAAGTGAGGTAAGATTGGCGCAGACCAAAGCAAGATCAGACGATGATGCCACAGGGTCCCCAGATAAGCGCACGTAAAACAAGCTTTTGAAGAGACAGATGGAGATCAAATTTGTAGTACTTCACCAGAGTCTTGAATATGGGTCTCGGATAGACAGCAGACATCGATATTAAGACGTTCCAAAGACATAGCCAGCCCTATATGTTGTTCAACCTGCATAAGTGTGCAAACGTTAAAGGCAGCCAGTTTGAATGGCGCACGTGGTTTCAGAAAAACTGCTTCAGTACTCATATTCAGTGGTAACATACAATTTTCAACCAGAGAGACTCGAGAACGTTTAGACACAGTCGAATTTCCACCATAGACGAGTTGCTGTAAAAGTCGAAAAAATAAGTATAGACAGAGTAGGAATAAAAGAGGGTGAATAATGATGTAGTAAATAATAATAATAATAATAATAGTAATAGTAATAATAACAATAATTGGAATCATTTGATCGTTAGTTGATGCACGAAAAGTAGATACTGCCCGGGTGCCCGAATCGAAGCAGGTGGTTTTCCTAGTGGGCCGAACCCCGAGCCTTTGACCTAACTGTCTAACCCACAAGGCAGTGGAAAAACGTAAGGATATACAGTCCCATGGTAGCCGGTGATCAACGATTGGTTCATACGCCAATTGTTGCCGCAGGATACTGGAGCCCATGTGCACCATTGGTTTGGGATCCGGCTAAAGCGCCGGACATTCTCTTTTCGTCCTCTGATTTTTGTAAACAACACCCCGCCACGAGAAGGCACTGAGTAGGAATTATCTGACAGACGCTGCATACGCGTGACCGTGTGACAGTATTTCGAGAGGTAGGGCGAACCCAACCCACTCTCGACCATACCAAGGAATTTGGGGATATTTGACATTAGCACCTGCAATTGTCGACTGCGTAGCAGGGTAAACTTTAATATATTCCGAGAGGAAAGTTACTTACATAACCAAGTCATAAATGAACCGCACACTGATTGACATAAACAACTCACCAGAAACAGCAGTTCATCACATCAAGTAAATATGCTTCATAACAACATTTCCTATAAAAGTATCCGGAGGACCAATACATGTATGATTTTTAGTGACTGATAAAAGTTTCAGAAAATCGGATTCCTTTACAACATTTTCTGTAGAATATTTATGATATATAGGGTGGAAGTTTTGGGACTTTTGAGCAACATACAATGAATCAAAACTAAGTTAAACAGTACTAGTATTGTGGATTGTGAAATCAGAGAGTAGAGACTTATATTCACAAAAGAAAGGAAAATCTGGCGAGACTATAGTTTGTGGACGAACCAATCAGGTATAAGACAGCAGATCTCGGATTTTCCACGAAAGTCGTTCATCTATTTGGCTAAAGAGAGTTTTTGCATTATAGCTGATGTCAGTTCGTGATGAAAACCCCATATATAATTAATAACTAGGGCAACTTATGACAATTATTGCGAACTGGATAATAAAAGCATCGGTAACACTGGTTGCAGCCAGGTACTACAATATATACGGATGATTAGAAACCGTACAGACTCCTACATATACTTGGTTATGTGCATCGTGTCGTTATCCACAAGTGGCAATTTGTGTACTCGGCAACCGGAGTGCACACAAACAACATTGAAGCTATGTGGTCGAGGCTGAAAGTTTTTGCGACCTTATCATTGCTCCAGAGTCCGATTATTCTGTAGCCATTGACTCATTCAAGAGAAGAATAGACACTCACAGAAGCATATGAGAAAAATAACACAGGACGTAGGCCTTTCGAAATTTGTGCTGATGTCGTTCAGAAGGACGATGAAAGCTCCACGACCAAACCATCCAGCTCAGAAAACAAAACTCCACCAAAAGTAGGCCTTTTGTCCTTACTATCACTATTATAATCGTGCCCAGCGTTTATATATAAACGCTGAAGTATATACACTACAACTTAGACTGGATAACGTGAAAAGAGAAACGATTGACAAGAGTAGTAAGTGAAGAGTACACAATGACACATATGACGTTGTAGATGACTGACTGATAAGTGTACAATTTAAATGAACCTATGTACATTTAAATTGTATACTCATTCATATATGAATAGTGAGATAAAGGTACCATGAATTCCCACACGAAATAGATATGCTTTTGGCTCTATAAATTGATGATTTAACATAATAGGCACGACCACTAATGTATGACTGAGCAACATTAGATTTCAATAAACCAAATTAATGTACGCTAACCTTCAGTCGAAACACTTGATCCGCCACATTTAATTTACCGCGTCGAAACCCTGAAACAAATTGGTCAAATGGTTCTGGAAGGAACAGAAGAAGCTTTTGCTTAAAGGGCTTCCATATTCGGTAGTAGTGTATCACAAATGCCTCCAGACTGGAACCTAGGTATATTAACCATAAAAGAGGGAGAATGAAAAGTGTTAGTATATCACAGTGAAACTGTCCTTAGACTTTAGGAATATGTCAAGTTTTCTCTTAAAAGACTCATGAGAGAATACTTTGACTAACTCCGCGGGCAGCGATTTCCAACATCTGACTAATCTTAGGAAGTAGGCGTGTCCTGTGCTGTTTGTGTGAACTAATTATCTCTTTCTACCTGTTGACTACTAGATTTCGGATTCCAAATGCAACACATTCGTTCGTGCTTATCTAGTACTTCTTGAATAAATTGCGCTATTTCTGGGATTCTTAGTTTGTACTATAATTCAAGCACTTCTAATTATCACAGTCTATAGTCCGTACTGCTGAGTTATGTCTCCAGTTTCTGGGTGTTACCGTTCGCTCTTGTGCGGAGACTAAACTTAAGTACGTGTTTAAGAGAATATCTAGCAGTGATAAGGATGTTGTAAGGAATAAGAAGGTCACCTCTTAGTTGCCTCTACTCCAACGAGTTAAGATTTAGGACTTGGAGGCGCTCTTCACAAGACTTGAATTTGAGTCCACGAACTGATTTTATAGCTGGCTGTTGAATATGTTCAAAGTGCCCTTAATTTTTTAGATTCGGGAAGGAAATACTATGTTTTACATGCATTCAATATGGACTAATCAATCTGCTGAAGAATATGTTTGAAGTTTCTTGATCGAATCGGCCGAAAATGCTCCTCAACGTTACCAGTGCGAGATTTGCTCGAAAGGCATTTTTTTCGCAGTTAGCTTAGGATTTCTCGTTATGCTGTATCAACACCCCTAGTTCTTTTCAATTTAGGATACCTATGGAGAGGAGATACCTAAGTTGCATACGTAATCTGTAATACGTCCCACATGGACTACTTTACACTCTGAGGTGTTAAAGTTAGATGTTTCGTAGTCTATCCAATTTTAAATCGCGTCAGGAACGAACCATACTCGGGCCCGGAAAAGTGTTGATTTTCAGGTGTTGCAGTTTCTGACATACCAAGTCTGCGCCCGGATTCACTTCTGAGAGTCCTGTTGAGTTCAATGTGAAGCTCTCATCAGCATGGTTAGCATGAGTCGAAAATCCACGTTTCTAGCAGAGGAATTGTAAGATGGCCGTGTGTGCACATTCATCATTTACTTCGTCAGATGTTTCCCTATAGAACTATGCATCACTTATATTGAATGACGTTAACACTTACAATAAGTATAACATTTAAGTAAGCTAAGAAACTTCTGTCTAAGCTGCGCATTTTATCGTCTGTCGGCATCAATACGTATATTGATTAAACTGGCATAACTCAATCTTTATTTCAGTTTTATTATCTCTTTTTTTCGCAACAAAAGATTTCAAAGAATCTTACGATTGCTATTGAAATGTCAGATTGTCATACATGATTACATTTTAATTTCAATACAATGTTCGCTATTTATTCCGAACGGCATAATTCTTGTGTGATATTGACATGCTATGGAGTATTTATAACTTATTACCAACATATCAGTTACAAGCGTACTAAAGTGCTATATGTACCTAATGTGTTTAACGCAAAACTTTATCGTTTAGCGATTTTGAACTACTTTTTATCGCACCTTATATATATCATCATATGGTCTTAGCGTATGTCTTCTATCTAATCCATTTATTTATACAGTTGTCTTATGAAACATTTATTCATTTCGAGCCAATTCAGTTAAACATATCAAAGTGATTTAATGTAGCGACAGATTCCTTCATATATCTTTTACTAATTTATTCGAGTAAAATATTTGAAAGCATGCTATCTTTGTTAGCTATATAAGAATAATATCATTTATTACCATCAACTAAACTGCAATCATTATATCTAGATTACAATAGTGGTTTAACTAAATTAAGTCGTCATTAAACCCACCAAATCTATTCAAATCTCATTTCCTGTTGAAAGGGACCATCTTTTTCGTTCGATTACCATTATAGTGGCAAGATTTAAAATATGAACATATCTTCAAGTTCTTTGAATACATGTTAGTTCACAAGTTAGGTGAATCTACGGCGTTTACCAACCCTAGATTCCTACACATTATAATATGAAATTGCTAATTCACTTATTTATATCAACCTTACTATAGTCTTTGCAACGTAATAATGATGGATTGACGACAGTAGAGCCTGAAAATATGAATGAGACGAGTAAGGAAGTCAGGACCAATTTTTGTGATTCACTAAAGTTCTAATCAATGAACGTTATCATGTACAGATGAAATTTATTGAACGTAATTGTCCAAGACGTTTTAAACTTTATGGATTGTAATAAAGCTATATCCAAGAGACCTTATGGGGAATGGTTGAATAAATAAAAACTTACGTACTTACGCTTGTCCTCTTAGGAAGTAGCGTGACGCGAGCACAAGCACTCTACATCCAACTCTGTCATGGGCAGTCCTCTCAAGGTGTTATTCATCCTTTTCATATATGCTTCTATTTCACGATGTAATATGTTCTATGGCCTTCCTCTTTTCCGCTTCCCTTCATGATTCCAAGCTAAGGCTTGCCTCGCGATGCAGTTTGGCCATTTCTGTTATATATGTTCTATCCAGTACCAACGACTTTCCCTAATTTCCTTGTCATCTGAAAATTGGTTTTTTCTCTTCAACCGTAAGCTCTCGCTGATGGTATCCCACCTACGGACATTCAGTATCTTGCGTAGACAATTGTTTATAAATACTCATACATTGTTGATGATGGTCATGATAGCTCTTCAAGTTTCAACTCCATACAGTAGGACTGTCTTGATGTTTGTATTGAGGATCCTGACTTCGATATTGGTTTGAAGGCAGTTGCTTTGAGTTACATATATTCTTGGACTGTACGAATGCGGCCCTTCGCTTTTATGTTTGCATCAGATTCTCCTTGTTCAGCGATGATGTTCCCCAGGTACTCTGTCCTTTATAATTGTCTATCTTAGTGTTGCAGTAAAGTGGTACATTATTCGCGAAACATCTGGAAATTGGTGTTTTTACATAAAAAAC